GTTCTTCTTCTTGTATTACGGCGGTGCATTTCCTTGCTCGTGATGTTGGGTCGGGGCAGTGGGGGATACTTCTTGGGAGACGCCTGGGGTAGGGGGGTGTAGGGGGGTGGGTGGGCCCGTGTGGATGGGGCTTGCAGGCCTCCGTCTGCATAAGGGCAGCACGTGCACAGTGCACTGACGCGACCAACGACCAACGAACCTATCCTTGGCCGAAAAGACCGGGTACGAAGGGAAGATGATTATAGGGCTCCGGAACCTTATCCCCGGTTCAGACGTGAGACCTGCCGGACATCCTGCTGCGGCCGCTGCCCCACCGATGCCGCCGCAATCCGGCGGAGGCGTAGATTTGCGCGTCCGTCTGTAAGTCTCTATCTATCTATCTATCTATTCATCTACCTATTTATCTGTCTATTTATCTATCTATCTACCACCGTCTCTGCGTCGCCTGCATGTATGTCCGCTGCTCCCTATGTCCTAACTCACCCACCCACCCACCCACCCACCCACTCAGGCACCTACGCCGGCGGCTTCTGACTGCCGCCTGGGTTGCATGGCAGGCGGAGACGGCCAGCGCACGCGCCCGAATGCGGCTGGCGGCTGTGTACGACATGAAAAGGTCGTACTTGGGGCTGGGCCGCTGCGTGCAGGTGCGCGTATATGTGTGTGTGGGGGGGTCGGGAAAGAGGTTGATTGATTGGGCGCCTTTTTTTTCTGTACGAAAACCACCAAGGCTTGTAGCCCACCTTGGCCGATGATGCACCCACAATCCGAACACACCGCGCGCGCGCGTGGCGCAACACAAAGTGAGACGCCTGATGTGTGTGACGTCGGACGTGGCACGTGACGCGGCGCAGGCCTGGAGTACGGCAGCCAAACGCCTGGCCCAGCTGCGGGACCTTCAGGAGCGGGTGACCGTGGACAGGTACTAGTAATGTGTGCACTCGTGCCCGTGCCCGTGCCTGTGCCTGTGCCTGTGCCTGTTGTTCGCTCTCTCGTGCGTATGCGTACTGTGTATGCCTATTGCGTTGTAACGATGTATGTACGTATGTATATATTTTATGTATGTATGTATGTATGTATTTAACATCATTTGACGGGTCCTGACGCCCCGGTTAAAACATCAGACATTTGAAGGGAGGGAGTGAACCCTGTACGGAACCGAGTGTGGGGGGGGGGCCGGGGGAGAACACCCGGGGCAGCGTGTGAAGGGCCGCTCTTCCCCCCCACCCTTGCTCGGTGGTCTAGACACTGAATCCCGATATATGTGCTGCATTAGTGGGAGGCAACATTCATTCCCTGCGTCTCGCGTAATAATGCATGTAGAGAGGAACGCAAAGCGCGATGTCTTGCACGTAGCATGTTTGTATTGGTTCTCCAGATGATGACATCCTAAAGAGCGTACCGCGTCCTGTCCGTATGTCTCTTATGTGTATGTATCTATGTGTGTGAATATGTATGTATGTATGTATGTATGTATGTATGTATCTATATGCTTGGGGGCCGGATATCCGACGCAGGTTGCTCCGTCAGGTCCGCGCCTGTCTACGTGGCTGGCGGGGACGTTGCTACCACTCGGCTGAGAAGCAGCGGCGGCGTCTGCAGGTGACACCGT